GCATGGGCAGCAGACAAGCCCTGCGCTGAGGGATGGCTGCTCTCCACAAGGATCCAGGGAGGCCCCATTTCAGCAGCACAGGCAGGTGGGCACCACAGAGAGCCCCGCATGCCTCCATTTCAGAGGACAGCCCTGCAAATGCTCTCGACGTGGGAGCCTGTGCCACGGAGCTGACCACTGTAACATGCCATTCATCGAGAGTCCACCCTGGGGAGTCTCCTCATGGGCCTTCTCCACGACAGGGAATGCAAGAAAATCACACTGGAAAAGGAGCCATATCGAGCCCTGTGACGTTTTCAAATCTGCATTCAAAATAACGCGAGATACCGAAAGCGACTAAACAATGGCCCTCCGTGGCTTGGCCACGCTCAGGACGTCTCAGGGAAGCTAAATCCTGGGAAGAAACAAACGACCTCGTTACTAGAATTCATTATGGGTCAAGCACTTCTGAAACTGAACGTGGGAGCAGAGAGGACACGAAAGCAAAGAAAGCCTTTTTAAAAAAAGCTGAATTCATTTTTCTTTCTTTCTTTTTTTGTTTGAGATGGAGTCTCACCTTGTTCCTCCCAGGCTGGAGTGCAGTGGTGCGATCTTGGCTCACTGCAACCTCCATCTCCCGGGTTCAAGTGATTCTCCTGCCCCCACCCCCCAAGTAGCTGGGATTACAGGCAAGTGCCACCAGGCCCGACTGATTTTTGTATTTTTAATAGAGACAGGGTTCCACCATGTTGGCCAGGCTGGTCTCGGACTCCTGACCTCAGGTGATCTGCCCTCTTGTCCTCCCAAAGTGCTGCGATCACAGGAGTGAGCCACCACATCGCGCTTCATTTGTCATTTTGAGGCTTGGATTCCTTAAGACACACAGGATGTGGGTCGTGCGTGACCTTCAGATTCCTGTGGCCAAGCGGAGGCTTCCAGGGAGGAGCCTCTGGTGTAAAACGTCCTCCCCAGCCCCCTCTGGAATGCAAATGTGGACACTGTGCGCCACCCCCCACAACACTGTCTGCAACTGGACAATATTCTAGTATGCCTTTTAACTCTACATCCCTGGAAAACAAAATCAAAACTCAAACAAAACAAGTGAAAAACTCGTACGCACAAAACAAGTTCTTTCTCCATCCTCACGGGCCGCCGGTGTCAGCGTCACCATGCGTGGGAGGAGCCCCGGATCGCGCCGGCCGCCTCTGCGCAGCGGCACACGTGAAGCAAGCAGCAAAGCCCTGAGGGGACTCAACTCACCGACCCATCGCTCTGGGTCTGGTCTGGCAGAGGGAAGCCCCTCAAAACGGCTGGGTGTTTGGGGGTCAGGGCTGGGTCTCCAGCCCCGTGAGGACATCCAGGCACCACCAGCCCAGACCCTCCGCCTCCTCCCTACACGCAGCTCTACAAGCCACCGCTGTTTGGTTTGCAGGGCACTGGAGACTAACTCCACGCCTCATGCCAGCTTGCTGGCCCTGGAGGCAGTGGCGGGGCCAGTGGATCACAGAGAGAAGCCAGGGAAGCTGGGAACCAGGACCCGGTGGGGCTTCCGTCACCTGCGATGCCACATCCCACCACGGGCGCCTCACGGGGACCCCCCTGCACTAGGGACCCCCCACCCTGACCCAGAGCTGAGCCTATACCAGGGACCCCCCACCCTGACCCAGAGCTGAGCCTGTACCAGGGACCCCCCCCACCCTGACCCAGAGCTGAGCCTGTACCAGAGACTACCCCACCCTGATCCAGAGCTGAACCTGAACCAGGGTCCCCCCACCCTGACCCAGAGCTGGGCCTGTACTAGGGTCTCCCCACCCTGACCCAGAGCTGAGCCTGTACCAAGGACCACCCTACCCTGATCCAGAGCTGAACCTGAACCAGGGTCCCCCCACCCTGACCCAGCGCTGAGCCTGCACCAGGGTCCCCCCACCCTGACCCAGAGCTGGGCCTGCACCAGGGACCACCCCAGCCTGATCCAGAGCTGAGCCTGCACCAGGGTACCCCCACCCTGACCCAGAGCTGAGCCTGCACCAGGGTCCACCCACCTACACTCCCTCAGCCCCTAGGACTCTCCCCTCCCCTTCAAACCCACTATGAGCAGAACTTCCTCTGCGACCCGCCCCACCTGTCTGCCTCTGAAGGATGGAGAGGGGCTGTCTGTCCAGGGGGGCAGGAGATCAGGCCACGGCTGACACTGCTTTCAGGTGCCCAAAGCCTGAGCTCCTGTGGTCCTGGCTGAGCATTGAGGGATCTTGCAGGTGGAGATGAAACGGATGACGTCCACCATGGCACAGGGAGGTGTGTGCACAGGTGTCTCAGCCTCCACCCAACCTGACGCCCAAAACAGCACTGCCTAGTGCCATAAGCTAAACCAAAATGCCTGCGTGTGGCTGGCCCCCTATTATGGAAACAGAATGAACACAGCACCCGTGAACTGTGCCCAGAAGAGCGTGCAGGGCTGGCACTCAGGGTCTGTGCTCGAGGCTCCGGGGCCAGCCTTGGGCCTGCTAAGACGTGTATGGACCGGGGCAGTGGGAGGCCCCTGGGGCTTCCGAACAGGAATGTGACCCATGAGATCCGAGTTCTGGGAAGATCACCACGGCCCCAGAGCATGAGGAATGCGGAGAGAGGCCTGCCGGGATGTGAGCCCACCCCAGGGGAGAAGCTGTCCTCAGCATCCCAAGGGCAGGACCACCAGGACGCAGGGAGATAAACTTTCTTAAAAGGGGTGAACAAGCGCTTTACAGCGGGCAGGTCATGGGATCCAGGAGAGGCGCCAATGGGGACGTGTCCTCAGGCACCTTCAGAGGACCTGCAGGCCAGGCCCAGACCCACAGCAGATGCACCCCGGCCTCAGTCTTCCATGTGTCCGGGGTCATCTGTGCACCCCACTCCCCTCCCGCCAGGTCCCGCTCCCTCCATGTCCATGCACAGTTGGGCCAGCCAGAGCAGAGCCACCCACTCATGCAGCAGTCTGTGCGCTCAGACAGCCCAACCCCCGTGGCCCCCAAGGCTGGCCTGGCTTACTTAGCTTTGACCTCTAGGACCAAGGCCTGAGGGGCCCGGGCCACTTGGTGAGGCTTTGGCAGAAATGGGTGTGGTGGGATGCCAGCCCCGCCCGCTGTGTTGACACAGAATATGCCCTCATCCCCAGCAACCCCCTCAGTCTCGCCTGCCCCAAGCTCCACCCTTGCCATAAAGCCACACGTGGACCCCCGGGCAGCAGAAACACCAGCGAGACCTACTTCCCACCTGGGCCTGCAGGGCGCTGCCCATACGTGGGAGCCCAGGACTGGCGGGTCACAGCTGGGACAAGACGTGGCGGGCGGGAAGAGACCATGTGAGACAGGGCAGGGGTGAGGGACGGTAGGCATGGCCCGCTCAGCCTGCGTCCACCCACACAGCGTCCGCCTCATGCAGAGGCTGGGGAGGAAGGTGGAGTCTGTGCTCAGCAGGGAGCAGTGGAGGGACGTGGCCCCATGCGGAGCTCCAGCGGCCTTGTGGGTGGACGAGGAGGAGAGCGGGCAGATCAGACAGAAAGAGCTTCAGGACACATCTGCACAGGACACAGTCGTGGTCCTGGCCCTGCCCCACGGTCATCACAAACCTCCAGAGACTGGCCGGGGCAGCAGTGGGCCTCCAGTGTGGTTTCGAGGGATAGCCCCCCGGGGAGGCAGCAGCCTCCTGAGCTGACAGGTGCACTCCTACAAGCCCAAAAACAGACGGCAGGGGCTGCAGGCTCCATGGGACACACTCCCGCAAACTCACACACAGACACAGTCCAGGCCCCATGGAATACACTACCTCAAATTCACACACACACCAGGGCTCCAGGCTCAAGAGTTGAAAATTTTGGGGGCTGAAGTATTTGCATGCATCCTCCATAAAAAGCTTGCAGCCTTCAGTCAGAAAGCAACAGAAAGGCGTTTGGCAAGGCCTCACTCCCTGCCCAGCAGATGGGAAACCCAGCTCCGGATGCCCCGGAGTCCTGCCCTCAGGTCAGGAGAGGCTGATGCCACCCCCTCCCTGGAAGGCCGAGGCTCACCTGGTCCTCAGGCTTCAGGGCAGGAAGTGAGCAAGGCCCTGGTGTGTCTGCTGGAACCCTGGCCTGGGAAACGTCTTACACTCGGGAGGACTCAATGTGCCCCCGATGGGAATGAAGCCCAATCCCCACACTAACCACGCAGGCAGGGCTGGAAGACACAGGCCGAGTTGCCCTCTAACGTGTGGTCACTAGGGCTGCAGGCGCCCCCCTGACCACAGCACGACTGCATGCAAGTTGGGCTGGGCCGTCAAACAGAAACGCTCGCCAAGGACGCAGTGGTGTTCGGTCTGCACTGCTCACAGAAAGGACCGAGTGCTTGCTGCGGTTCCCGTGCCACCCACCTGGCCACAGACGTGAGGCCACTTCCTTCCCACGCGGCCCCAGGTACGCGGTGTTCAGTGCACCTCTGTGCTGTGGGAGCCTGGACAGGGGAGGCCCCGTGCCCAAGGCCTGAAGGCACCGTCCCGGGCCCCTGCCAGGGGACGTCACGGCCATCCTCCAAGGTCCTGCCAGGCGGCCTCGGACGTTAGACGTGTTCACAGAGCCACACAGAGCAACGCGCATAGCACCTCGGCTAATCTGTAGTCTACAAGCCATCCACGGGACTCAGCGGCACCTGCGATGCCCCTACTGCTGGCACCTCCTCTAGCCAGGGCTTTGAGCCCGAGCTGAACTGCTCCGCAGTCAGCTGCAGTTGCAAACGTGAGCACACAGCATGAGCCTCAGACCCTGGGACAGGCTTCGCAGGGGTCTGCAGCCAAGGTACCTGGCAGAGCCCCATGCTGCCCTCACCAGCGCAGGATCTCATGGGGGCACCCTGGCACCGTGGCAGCACATGGGCACTGTGTGTCAGGAGGACACATCCATGCCCCGCCCGGTGCCGGGATGGACGTCCATGTGCCACATGCACACGTCTCCTCCTTGAGCTCATGACGCGGCATTGGGCTGGGCACACATCGGAGTGGCCGCGGGCACTCACCGTCGTCCAGGTACAACTGGTCCAATTCTTCCGGCTCTCGCTTGACCGTTACAGGAATAGGGGCCAAATTAGGACTACCGTCCTCACAGGCCTCTGGCAGCAGCCGGGGCCGGGCGGTCGGAGACTCGTCCCTGCGGACCGTGGGCGGCGGGTGCTGTAGGCGGCCCGTGGCAGGCGGGCACGCTGGACTGCAGGGCTGCAGGCAGGTCGGCTCTTGGGCAGCGGGCGGGAGTGGAGGAGAGGGGCTGCTGGGGCAGAGTGAGTGTTCGAGCCCAGGGGGGTGGCTACCGCTCGGAGGCGCACTCACCTGCTGTGGAAGCAGGGCCGGGGGCGGCTGTCCGGGAGAGCCGGGGTGCATGGCCGCTGGCCTGGGCACGTCCTGGATGGCGGGGGTGACGGTGGGGGCCTCTCCGGCCGGCGCCAGGAGCCCCAGGTGACAATGGCCCGAGCTGGCGATGGCCTTGGAGTAGGCAGCGGGAGAAAGGTCGTGGAGCTTGGGGCTCGTGCCGGGGGCTGCTGGCATCAGGGAGCCTCTCTGCGGACAGGCCGGGACACCGGCCACGAGGCAGGAGCCGGGGTCGGGTGGCATGGCCAGCTGCTGGCTGTAGTATGATCTTGGGAGCGGACTTAACCCTTGGCTCACCGGTCCACAGGCTGGAGCAGGCTCGAAATCATCAGTGGGTTCTGTTTTTATAATTGGAACTGTGAGAAGGGGGAGAAAAGTTAGATCAACATGAGTTGCAGATGGGTAAGATCAGACAGGCTGGTGGTGGGACACTCTCCGCAGAGCCAGCAGCCTTGACTAGGTCCCTCTGTCTGCTGCCGGGTTCTCCCACCCCATTAAAAAAAGGCATGAGTCATCGGCCCAGAGAGTCGCAGCTGGTTCTAATACTGGCGAGGACTGTTTTCCTTGGCCTCTCTGCTGGCTCTAACGCACTATAAAAGTCCACTTGCAAACAGCAGTGGAAGCCCCGGGCCCAGGGGCCTGTGGATTTGTAGGAATCAAAGTGAACATTTTTAACTTGGATGCACGACTGCATTTCTGCTCCCGGCACTCAGTTTGGTAAACTCGAACGAACACACAACAAAGACAGCTTTCAGGAGTCCCTAAAACTCCAACCGCAAAGGGGAATGACCATTGGAGGCGAGAAGTGTCCGTCACTGAGACAGAAAGATGCCCTCGCCGAGGATGCAACACGTCCACGGTCCCCCCAATCTCTCTTAAAGGGGTGGGCTGTGTGGAGGCGGTGACCCAACAGCTTAGGACGGAACATGGGGCCCCTGAGTTTCTGGAGACTTCTCCCACCCAGCCCTCCTGAGAAAGTGGGGGCCGCAGGGAGGAGCCTGCAGGCCAGGCGCTGGGTCTCCAAGGCTGCTCCGCCAGGCCTGGCCCAGAGCCGACGCTGGCTCCCGCCTCGCGCCTGTGCCTTGCACCCACCCCGGCCTCTGCACCGGCTTCTGCGGGGTGTCGGGAAGGCAGTGGGCAGGGCATGCAGTCAGTGGAGCGGCAAGGCGGATCCCAGCCAGCATTCCTGCGGCTGCTGTTTTCCTGTTGGTCTCAGGCCTCTCATGCTACTTAGAAGAGACACAGACAGCTCCGCTGCTGAGGCCCTCACCCCGGCGCACGTAAATTCCCAACAGATGTGAGCGCCGCTCTGAGCGAACGCAGTACGGACAGTGAGCTACCACCAGGCATCCTCGTTCCGTTTTCTCCTCCCCGTGAGCTGCACACCGGTGGGTTTGGGCAGTGGGGTCGGCCACAGGGAGGGAAACTCCCTTCCATCACCACCTGGAGCCTTCACGTGGCCCCCAAAACCTGCACACAAGCTCCCTGCGCAAACACTCACTGCCGCCGAGGGCCCACGTGGGCTCCCGCCGTCAGTAAAAGCATTTCCGCAACTCAAGAGAAAATCTTTAGCCCTGGGCTTGATCCTGCGAGTCCACGCAGCTGTTCCCCACCAAGCCGGGGTGCCGAGGCTCCACCAGCAGCTGTGAATGACGAAGACACGTTTTCCCGCAGCGCATGGTGCGAGAGCCCCTGTGCTCCCTGCGGCGCCCGCCACAGGTCCAGGTGGCTGCGAGAGCTGGGAAGAGCTGTCCACGCTGGCCAAGCCTCCTCCCCGCCACACTGCCACACTGGGGCCATCACAGGGAGTAACCCATATGGGCTGTTCCCAGCTGTAGCACCTCACCAGCCTCCGGTCCGAGGAGGTCAGCCAACACGTTCAACCCTGGGATTCCACAGAGTTGCTGCACTTTGTTGCTTTTGTGCTCTGACTTTTCAATTCCCTCCTTTCATTCACTAATTCAAATCTTTATTTCATCCACTCTGCACGCTGTGTAGGGAGGCTGACGTTTAAAGCGCCTGCTGCATGCTGAGTAGGTCAAGGTAAAATGTGGCACGAATCCATGATGGAATACTATGCAGCCATAAAAAAGGATAAGTTCACATCCGTTGTAGAAACATGGATGAAGCTGAAAACCATCATTCTCAGCAAACTGACACAAGAACAGAAAACCAAACACCGCATGTTCTCACTCATAAGTGGGTATTAAAATGAGAACACATGACACAGAGAGGGGAACGTCACACACTGGGGCCTGTTGGGGAATGGGGGTGCTAGGGGAGGAATAGGGGGTTGGGGGATTGGTGGGAACACCTAATATAGATGACAAGGGTTGGATGCAGCAAACCACCATGGCATGTGTACAGCTACATAACAATCCTGCACGATCTGCACATGTACCCCAGAACTTAAAGTATAGTAAAAGAAATAATAAAATAAAGCGTCCGCCCTGCGCACTGAGTACAGAGGCCGAGGTTTCAGAGGGGTACTGACATCTAGGAGGCAAAAGGAAAATCACACGGCCACTGTGATTCCAAGGCCTTCCCAGGACGCAGCCTGCAGCTCACTAACTGGGGCCCATCCATCCAGCCAGGCTCTGCTGAGGGCCGTGCCAGCCTTACCCGGGGCTCACAAACCCGGCGTCACTACCCTTTGTCCTGGGGCAGGTCCGGTCACAGCTGCCGCGGCGAGCGTGGCCCGAGCTGTCAGGCACGAAGGCCGAGATTGGGGCTGCATCTACAGTGGCGCCCAGGGTGGGGTGGGATGGGTGCTCCCCCAGCCTTGTCCACTCTGCAAGCAACACCGGGGTTACATTGGAATCACACACCCGGAAGCAATGGCCATATTTGGGGGGACATCACAATTCAGCTGTCCCAGCGGTGAGGCCTAGCGGGTCCCATCTGAAGCCGCTGCCACTCCCATGTCAACTTTGGGAGAAGCTACAGAGCGCGTCAGTGCCTGGCACAGGCCCTGGAGTGCCGGGTCGGTTCCTGCGGAGAGGTCTCTGCTTCCAGCCACCTGAGTATGGCCTCCTGGGGCCATGTCTTCAGCAGAGGGTTCACAGATGGAGCCCAGGACTGCCTGCACAAGTGGGGGCTGCTGAGGGGAGGGTGCCCTCACGTTGACGGGCTAACCCCATCCCCCTCGCTTCTCATTAGAACGTTGCCATGGGTGGCAACACCTTTTTAAGGGGTCGGGGAGTCGGTGCATGGGGGGAGGGCTCTGACCGCAGTCTGGAGACCCCAGGGCTGGGGACATTTTCATCCAGGGGACATGTGTGTCGGCTTAAGGCCGTGCCCTCGCATCAGCTCTGTGCAGGCAGCTGGGCCTCGGGAACCGCCCCTCCTCGGGTTCCAGCTTCAAGCTTGAGGAGCCCACGACAAAGCTGGACAGTGGGGAGCCCGGGGTGGAGCGTGGCCAGCGTTCTCCCTGAACTCAGGCCTGTGCCTTCCAGAGGCGTTGGGGTCACCAGAAATAGGCCCAGACGTGGGAGTGCGACACTGGTGGGCACCCACGTCTGTCCTGCTCGGAAGAGGCTGTGTCCTGAAGAGCCCAGCCACCGCTCTAAATGAGGCTGGTAATTTCCAGTTTATGATCTGAAGCAAAAGCACATGGCTGGAAGGTAAAATTAATGCCCTGTGGGATCCTCTCTCCATGCACGGGATTTTCAGCCAGGGCCCAGAAACGTGGCCAGGCATGGGGGCCAGCGTCCCCTGAGCTCTTTAAAAATGCTCACCCAACGGCTCTGCCTGGCACTGGAGGCACAGCCCCAGCACAGCTGTCCCGTAAATGACCGTGGTCATAAATTAGCCGCCCCATGGCCCAAGGCTGGTGATTCCAGAGAGCAGGCGGGCCGAGAGGCCGGGTGGCGTCTGCTGCTGCTGGCCAGAGCACGCCGGAGAACCCCGCGCAGACACGGCCCACTGAAAACCGCAGTGGCACCGGCACTCACTCCTGCACCTCTCCAGCCACTCGGATTCCTCCTCCCAGGGAAGTCCCTGCCCAGGATGGTGGTGGTGAGGGGCACACGGTGCCGGGACACGTGAGTCACCACCCCTGGGATGCTGGCGGCCGGCGGGGCGTCAAGACACACGGGCTGCTTGCCCTGTGGAGTGGAGCAGGCCTAGTGCTGATGTGTCTGCCACCCCTAGGGGCAAGCAGAGACTGAGTGGACGCTTCACGGGGACCCCGCCAAGTCTAGGTAGCTCCCGTCGCCCCACCCACAGCAGGCACTCCCTCTCTTCCCGAGGCCCCAGGCTCCAGCCACAGAGGCTGCGGCAACACGTACCTCTCAGGAATAAACTCATGTGCCCATGACGAAGATGGTCCCACACCGCCCGCTGCTCCCCTCCTTCCCAGAGCTATTTGCAGGGAGCTGGGGGCAGCGACTTCAAACCTAGGGGCACCACATGTGCCCCACCCATGACAGCATCTTGTGAGTCTCAGAGCCAGTCAGGGTCCCTTGGCCCAGGGGGGCCTGTGCATGAGCTTTGACGGACACCTGTCCCGGATGTCCACGCTCTCCTGGGGGGGCTGCGCGGGAGCTTTGACGGACACCTGTCCCGGATGTCCACGCTCTCCTGGGGGGGCTGTGCATGAGCTTTGACGGACACCTGTCCCAGATGTCCACGCTCTCCTGGGGGGAGCCTGTGCGTGAGCTTTGACGGACACCTGTCCCGGATGTCCACGCTCTCCTGGGGGGGGCCTGTGCGTGAGCTTTGACGGACACCTGTCCCGGATGTCCACGCTCTCCTGGGGGGGCTGCGCATGAGCTTTGACGGACACCTGTCCCGGATGTCCACACTCTCCTGGGGGGGCTGCGCATGAGCTTTGACGGACACCTGTCCCGGATGTCCACACTCTCCTGGGGGGGCCTGTGCGTGAGCTTTGACGGACACCTGTCCCGGATGTCCACGCTCTCCTGGGGGGGCTGCGCATGAGCTTTGACGGACACCTGTCCGGGATGTCCACACTCTCCTGGGGGGGCCTGTGCGTGAGCTTTGACGGACACCTGTCCCGGATGTCCACGCTCTCCTGGGGGGGCCTGTGCGTGAGCTTTGACTGACACCTGTCCCAGGGCCTGGCACGCAGGCCTGATGGGTGGAGAATAAAGGCGGGAACGGATGGGTGAACTGCACCACCCGAAGCCACACACACTGCAGGCACCTTTGGGCACACCATCAGGTAAACGCCCTTCCCTGGACCCGCAGCCTCGCTGAGCTCGTTCTTGGAAGATCTGAGGACAGCGACTCGCAGCCGGGATGGGTGGCAGGTCTTCGTGGATAAAGGACACACCAGCTTCTGAGGAGGCCGCACACGTGAATTCCCATCAACATACCGCTGGCCACGTGATGC